ATAGGTAGACACACTGTGCCTCCTCCCACAACCAAAATAAGGTTAGCAACAATTTAGAAACAAGATAACAACCAGATCTGACAGAAAATTGAACTGTATGGAAGTTGGACAACCAAGGAGTTAAAATATACACATTCATGCAGACCAGTAGGAAGGGCAGAGTTTGGCAGCCAAGTGGAGAGGGATCAAAGCACAAAAAAGCAGTGGCACCAGGTGAGTAAGGCATCCCGGGCGCAAGACCACAACAGGCCGACCCTGGGTGTGTGGGCAACTGGCAGAACCAATGAGGTGGCAATTGTGAAATGAGGAACTACCTGAAAGGCGGCGGAAATGTGGGGCTGACTGGGCAGTCTCACATTTGCACACAGATAAACCGGGCAAAATTGGGCAGTGAGACACACCACGCAACCCACGGTCCAAGCGCAGGGATATTGAACCTTGGGACACTGATTGAAAACACCTATGGGGGCTGAGGTGCAGGGAGAGACTCCCAGGCTCACAGGAGAGTGCATTGGAGAGACCCACAGGGCCCTAGAATGTACACCAGCCCACCCACATGAAAATTAGCACCAGAAAGGCCCAGTTAGCTTGGGGGAAAATGGCGGAATGCACTAAAATCCCACGGAGAGGAAAGCAAGTGCCATTGTTCCCTCTCAAATCCGGCTCCCACATACAGCTTCAGAACCCAGTGACTGGGTTGTCCCACCCTGGTGAACATCTAAGGCTCTGCCCCTCATACATAATAGGTGCAACAAGACCAGAGAAATGGCCCCAACAAAACAACAGATCAAAGCTCCACAGCAAATACAACTAAGCGGCCAAGAGACAGCCAACCTATCAGATGCACAGTTCAAAGCACTGGTGATCAGGATGCTCACAGAATTGGTTCAATGTGGTCACAAATTAGATGAAAAAATGGAGGCTACGCTAAGTGAAATGAAGGAAAATGCACAGGGAACCAATAGTGATGGGAAGGAAACTGGGACCCAAATCGATGGAGTAGACCAGAAAGAAGAGAGAAGCAATCAAACAGAAAAGAATGGAGAAATAAGAAATCAGGAAAAAAATAAGGAGAGGCTTAGGAACCTTTGGGACATCTTTAAACATTCCAACATCAGAATTACAGGGGTACCAGGAGGAGAAGAGGGAGAGCAACAAGAGGAAGGGTTATTTGAACAAATAATGAAGGAGAACTCTCCCAAAGTGGCAAAAAAAAATAGACTTCAGGAAGTTCAGGAAGCTCAAAGAGTCCCACAGAAGTTGGACCCAAGGAGGAACACACCAAATGCACATCATAATTACATTAGCCAAAGTAAAACTGAAGGACAGAATCCTAGAAGCAGCAAGAGATAAGGAGACACTAACCTACAAAGGAATTCCCATCAGACTGTCAGCTGATTTCTCAAAAGAGACCTTGCAGGCCAGAAGGGGCTGGAAAGAAGTACTCCAAGTCATGGAAGGCAAGGACCTACATCCAAGATTGCTCTATCCAGCCAAGCTTTCATTTAGAATGGAAGGGCAGATAAAGTGCTTCTCAGATAAAGTAAACTTAAAGGAGTGCATCATCACCAAGCCCTTATTTTATGAAATGTTCAAGGGACTTATCTAAGAAAAAGAAGATAAAAACTATGAACAGTAAAATGACAGCAAACTCACAATTATTAACAACCACACCTAAAACAAAAACAAAAACAAACTGAGCAAATAACTAGAACAGGAACAGAACCACAGAAATGGAGACCACATGGAGGCTTAGCAACAAGGGAGTTGGAAGGAGGGGGGAAGGTACAGAGAATAGTAGCATAGATGGTGGGTAGAAAATAGACAGGGGGAGGGCAAGAATAATATGGAAAATGTAGAAGCTAAAGAACTTATGACACATGGACATGAACTAAAGAGGGGGAATGTGGGTGGGAGGGGGTGTGCAGGGTGGAGGAGAGTCAAGGGGGTAAATGGGACAATTATAATAGTATAATCAATAAAATATGTTTAAAAAGTTAAAAAATAAAAATAAAAATTTTTCCTTTTTATTTATTTGATTTGATTGTTTTAACTTTTCAAATTATTGTTCAAGTAGAGTTTTCTCCATTCCCCCCCCAACAGTTATAGGAAAGAGAGAGAGAGAGGGAGAGAGAAAGAGAGAGAGAGAAACATAGACTCATTGTTCTATTCATTGAGCATTCATCAGTTGCTTCTTGTGTGTGCCCTGGCTGGGAATTGAGCCCACAACCTTGGTATACTGGGACGATGCTCTAACCAACTGAGCTACCATATAGGGACTAAAATTTGCCATTTTAAAGTGTACAGTTTAGTGTCGATTATGTCTTTGTGTTGTTATTTAACCTCCAACTTCTTCATTTACCACAAATGAAGAAAGACACAGGTTTTATTTTTTTTACACATGCCCCCTCTCACCAGCTGGTCTTTTCCATGTCTCAGTAAATTGCTTGAATATTTATATAGTTTCTCTGGAGCTGTTACTAAATGTCATTCCCACTTCTTTCCATTTGACACAATCAGTGTGACACTGGCCCTCCTCATTCTAGCCCCTGGTAGCTTCTGTCCACACTTCTGGTGTCCCTATGCTGCATTCTAGAAATTTCCTCAATATCGTCCTCCACTTTCATAACTGCACCTTCAGCTCTGTCTCTTCCATGATGGGAATGGTTGTTTTAATGTGTCCATCTATTGGGTTGTTCATCTGTCAGATTTCTAACTCTGTATATTCTTCTGTAAAACAATTCATATCCCTGGCTCAAATCATTGAATCCTCCCTTTATTTTTGATATATTTACACGTGATCTTCTTCCATTGCTCTTATCTTTCCCACTGACTCTCTTTCGTTGGGTATCACAGTCACTACTGTCAGTAGACAGCGTCCATAGCACTGTCAGTCATCCTTAGGATTTCTCCACTGTCCAGTCTTGTAGGAGTCTCTCCCCTCCCACCTTTGGTTTCCCAAAGATTCTCCCAGCTGTCTTGGGAGTCAGGCTGACCAGGGGCCTTGGCAGCTGCCCCTGCCCCAGGCCATTTACTCTCTCAGGCTCAGCACCTGCTCACCATTTTGCCTACCTGGGCTGCTCCAATGGGAGCCACACACACACACACACACACACACACACACACACACGCACACACACGCACACACAGGAAAGACACCCATGGCTGACATACTGGATTCAATGTGTTTCAGGACACAGAAGACAGACGGGTCACTGTTGACCATGAACTTGGGGGAATGGACAGAGACACCCCAGAGCCCACTCAGAAACAAGGAGCAGGGACCACACATGCAGCCTTCAACTGCTTTCTGACTCCCTTCTTGTGAGGAGTTGGGGTCCTTCTCTGTCCACTCAGGAGGGGAATTTCCTCCCTATCACTCATGGATGGTCCCAGTCACTTGGGCCATCATGAAACCGATGTTCTCTACTGAAACGTCTCTGTTCACCACTGTGGTTCCCCCTCCATTTGTGGATCTTTCATCTCTCTCATAGACATGTCTGTGCCTACACAATGTAGAGCTATTGTGAGTAGTTGTGCTTGGAATCAGAGCAGACAAGGTCTCAAGTGGGTGCTACAATCTTGCTCTTGACCATGGACACCTTGATCCTCTCATGTCCCAGCCCACTCATGCCCTCCTCTTGTCTGGAAATAGAAGTCTCCCTCCCATGAACCAGCACCACTGACCCACAGCCACTGTGGGACTGGGCTTTGTGACATGATCCAGATGAGGAGACTGAGGCAGAGACAGGACTTTACCTCTCAAGGACACATGGACATTAGATGATGAGTATTTAAGTAAATATCTGGTTTAAGTAAAAGTCGGGACTCTAAGCCAAGTCAATGTCCCCTGAAGTTTGAAGGTAGGATCACAGGACAAGGAGGAGGCTTGAACCAGGATACAAGGGGGCACTGAGTGCGCAGGGATCACTTAGGTTTGTCCCCAGGAAGGTGAGTGGGTGCTGTTGCTCAGAAAAAATGAGAACTCAGTGAGGGTGACTGGGATAGAAAGAAAGCCTCACTCTGGGGCCAGGGGAAGGGTGTGTTTCCTTCCCCTATTTCTCTATCTCTGTTCTTTGAGCTCATTGTCACAGTGACATTCGCCTGAACTGCAGAGTGAGGAGGAGACCGTGTCTCTGCTGATCTGAGCTCTGCAGGTACAGGGACCCCTGCCTTTCTGAAGTGTCTCCAGGGCCTGGGTGCCCACTGTCCATGTGGAGGACCCACAAGGAGGCACTGAAAGCCAGCAGAGGATAAACGGGTCCCTTGCGGGGAGGCTCTGACCTGGAAGGACGTGCCCTGGATCACCTCACCTGCAAGGGCCGTCAGGAGGCTCTGGGTCTATTTCTTCCTCCAACATAAGAATGAGAGGTGGACTCCTTGGGAGACACTGTCCCCCTTCCTAAGGGGCTGCTGACATGACAACTCCAGGACAGAGACGGCCAACTTCCCAGTGACCATGCCCTGCGTGTCTATCACCCTCAGGACACCCTAATTTCTCCCTTCTACAGGACTGGGTGCAGAGAGGAGACACCATGCCCACCACCCTCATGGCCCTGCTGTGTCTTGGTGAGATGTGGGAAAGGAGGGGAAGCCCTGCTCTGTCAGGACCTCAGGACTCAGGAGGTTCCTAGGGAGGAGGGTTCTGCTCAGGATTCAGGGCAAATTTCTCACAGAGACTCTCTTGCAGGGCTGAGCATGGGCTCGAAAACCCCATGTACAGGCAGGTGAGTGTGTCCTGGGGTCTCAGTACCCTCTCCACATAAAGGACAAGGTGTTTCCCCATCAGGCAGCTGGGGATGGAAAACAGAAGTTCTAATTTTACTGGATGGGGGATCATCAAGGAAGGTCCTGGGCTGTGATCACAACACGGGGTGGAAAGGACTTGTGACTCAGGTTCTGATTTTCTTCCAGGGACCCTCCCCAAACCCACCCTATGGGCTGAGCCAGGCCCTATGATACCTCAATTCAGCCCCGTGACCATCTGTTGTCAGGGGGACCCTGCAGGCCCAGGAGTTCCGTCTGGATAAAGAGGGCAGGCCTGTACTCTGCGACAGAAAGATCCCACCAGATCCCAGGAACAAGACCAAGTTCCTCATTGCACGCATGACAGAACACACTGCAGGGACATATCAGTGTTACTATCTCAGCCAAGGTGCCTGGTCAGAGCGCAGTGACCCCCTGGAGCTGGTGGTGACAGGTGACAGGACACTCAGGGGTCTCAAACTCAGGCTGTGCCCTTCGGGAAGAGGGATACTCTCAGGGGATCTACCCCTCACTGCCCAGCCCTGGGGGAGATGAGGCAGGAGTGAGCCACATTTCACATGCTGCCTCCATCTCTCCTAGGATCCTACTACAGCAAACCCAGGGTCTCAGCCCTGCCCAGCCCTGTTGTGACCTCAGGAGGGAATGTGACCCTCCAGTGTGGCTCACGGGTGGCATTTGACAGGTTCATTCTGACTAAGGGAGGAGAAGACAGGCTCTCCTGGACCCTGGACTCACAGGTAGACCTAGGTGGGCAGGTCCAGGTCCTGCTCCCAGTAGGCCCAGTGACCTGCAGCCACAGGTGGACATTCAGATGCTATGGATATAACAGGAACAGACCCCAGGTGTGGTCATGGCCCAGTGACCCCCTGGAGTTGGTGATTCCAGGTAAAAAAAAAGCTTTATTTTGCCTTTTGTGTGCATTGAGTCTCCAGACAGGTTACTGGGGTATGTGCAGGGAGGGGAACCCCATGTGGGAGGTACTATGGGGGGAGCACAGGGGCTCCTGAGCCAGAGACACACAGAGAGACAGTGGGACCTGGGGGCCAGTCCAGGACGAGGGTTCTTGAGAGGAGCAGCCCTGTCACTCCTGTCTGGTCCCTGCAGGTGGCTCAGGGAAGCCCTCCCTCCTGAGCCAGCAGGGCCCCATTGTGGCCTCTGGACAGAACCTGACCCTCCAGTGTCGCTCTGACATCAGCTATGACAGATTTGTTCTGTCCAAGGAGGGGGGACAGGACCTCCCCCAAAGCTCTGTCCTGCAGCCCCAGGCTGGGCTCTCTCAGGCCAGCTTCCCCCTGGGCACTGTGAGCAGTATTCACGGGGGCCAGTACAGGTGCTACGGTGGACACAACCTCTCCTCTGAGTGGTCGGCCCCCAGTGACCCCCTGGACATCCTGGTGGCAGGTGAGGAGCCAGTGGGTTCAGTATGGACCCAGAGTCTGCTTAGACCCTGCTGGGGGTTTCAGGTGGTGATGGGCAGGACAAGGAGTGTGGGGTCCCCAGAGTGGGAAGGAGACAGACCAGGGGTTTGGAGAAGCGAGCAGGAGACTCACAGAAAACAGAGACAGACAGAGAAAAGGGTCCTCGAAAAATAGCCTGTGACTCTCAGGTCAGAATTAGGTGGTGACAGCCCCTTACCCACACCCCTCTCTAGGATGGCTCCATTATCGACCCTTCCTCACTGTACAGCCAGGCCCCACAGTGGCCTCAGGAGAGAACGTGACCCTGCTGTGTCAGTCACAGAGCTGGAAAGACACTTTCCTTCTGGCCAAGGAGGGGGCAGCCGATCCCCCCCTGCGTCTGAGATCACAGTCCCGAGCTCAGCAGCACCAAGCACAGTTCTCCCTGGGTCCTGTGACCTCAGCCCATGGGGGAACCTACAGGTGCTACAGCTCGCACAGCACCTCCCCCTACCTGCTGTCACAGCCCAGTGACCCCCTGGAGCTCCTGGTCTCAGGTAAGGAACCCCAAACCCTGCTTTCTGAGCTACTGTCTCAGGGCCCTGTGTCCAGAAGAGATATGGGCTGAAAATGGAGGGAGATGGCTCTAGGGATTCTTACCAACAGTACCTCTGGCTCTTAGGGACCCTGCTATACCTGTCCACCCCGCCCTCTCACCTGGGATCAAAGGTGGTAGGTGGGCCAAAGGCATATCTTGAGAGGCTATAGAGCAGGTTCACAGGAAGACTCCAGGTGCTCTGCTGAACCCAAAGTCAGTCCCACACCCTCACACCAGTCCGTCCTCATTCCCAGGACCCTCTGGAGACCCCAGGTCCCCAGCCACAGGGCCCATCCCCAAAGCTGGTGAGTCCCTGAGAACTCTGCTCAGAGGGAGCACAGAGCTTCCCAGGGAAGTTCTAAGGGTCCATCAGGGGGTCTTGTGACCCCCAAACACTTAGGGTGGAGACTTTGTCAGGGGCCTGGGAGTCACACAGAGATGCCAGAACCACAGGAGTGCCAGGGCTCTGAGGCTGGCAGGTGAACGAAATGGCGGGCATGGTAGACAAGCACAATGGGCCCAGGCTGGGGGAGGAGCCAGGTTCAAGTGGAGAGAAGTTGGTCACCACCACACACCCCCCATCCTGAATTTCTACAAATCTCTGATGGTCGGCCCCTCCCTGACTCAGAGACAGACCCACAGAGCAGTAAGTGAGGGTCTCTGTGGGGAGGTGGTAGGTGTGTCCAGGGGGGGGGGCAGGGGCTGAGTCCTGTGCAAGTTCAGGCTCCTCTGGTGATTCTGACTTAGACACACCCTTCCCCTCTCTGTGCCTCAGTGTCTCCAAGTGTCAAAGGAGAGAAACATGGCCCAGAGCTTAGATTGCCTTTCAGTCTGACTCTCACTTCCTTGGAGGGAGTTTCCCAGGGAAGCCCCCCAGGATGGGGTGTTATGGGAACCATCCCCTCTGTAGCAGGGATGGTGACACTGTACAGGGAGGGACAGGCAAGACAAGGTCTAGGAACATAAGTCCTTTCCCTCAGCTCAGGTGCTCAGCTCAGAGCAGGGAACAAGAGCTGGAGTGAGACCTGGTTCAGGTCCCGGCTCTGCGCTCCTGCTGTGGGGCCCAGAATCCATTCTCTTCTCTAAGTGTCAGGTTCATGTCTGTTCATCCCTGGTCCCCTCCTGCTCACAGGTCTGCAGTGACATTAGGTGACACGAGGGGACTCACAGAGCTCAGGAAGACAGGGCCCCAGCCCAGCCAAACCATTCAAAGTGGGAATCAGGGTTCACCACACACCCCTATTCCTCCTGTGTCCCTGCTGTGCTGAGGACAGGTATTAAGGAAGGACCCTCAGGTACAGGTGAAACAGGACAGACCCCTGCAGATGAGGAGCCGAGAGCTCAGAGCTGGTGTCCACCTGGGGACAGCAGGAGGACAGCACAGGGAACCCACATCTTGGGGTCCAGTCCCAGTCCTGCCCCAGCCAGGCTGAATGACTTGGAGCACGTGGCTAACCCCTTGAGCCACAGTGAACTGGGTGGCGTGTCAGCCATGCCTGGTGCAGGAGGGCTGTGAGGTTAGAGGGGTTGAAGGACAGACCACATCACATGCCTTGCACACAGTAGGTGCTCATGAAATGGCACCTTTGGCTCATTCATGATGTCACTCCAGCTCAGGGTCTCCAATGGTACTGGAACGTGCTGATTGGGGTCTCAGTGGCCCTCGTCCTGCTGCTCTTCCTCCTCCTCTTCCTCTTCCTCCGACACCAGCATCAAAGCAAAGGCAGGATGTTGGGTGAGTAGGAAATGGGGTGACCTGGGCCACGGGACAGAGGGCTCAGACCACCTGCCGCAGGAAAACAAATAGATGGGGAAGGTCATCTGAGAAACAGATTTCTCCAGAATCTCACATCAGAAATTGTTAAGGGCCATGGCTGATGCGTCTCAGTGGATTGAGCACTGGCCTGTAAACCAGTCACCGGTTCCATTCCTGGTCAGGGCACATGCGTGGGTTGTGAGTTGGGTCCCCATCAGTGAGCTGTGTTGGAGGCAGCCACTCATTGGTGTTTCTCTCCCTCTCTCCCTTCCTTCCCCTCTGTCTAAAAATAAATGAATAAAAAATTCTAGAAAGGAAACACTGAACATCAGCACAGATGTACAAATGTGAGGTGATCTTTCATCATTTTCAGTCTCCTTAAACATGAAATGTATGCACAAATATGTTAAGGTTCCTTCTTTCCTCTGGAATCACACAGGGAGGGGTCTGTACCCAACCAGGGCTGAGAGTGTCCCTCTTGACCAGCCCAGGGAGAGCCTGACATCCAATCTCTTGCAGGAACCACAGACCAAGAGCCCAAGGATAGAGGCCTGCGGACCAGGTAATTCCTGCCTTGAAGACCCCTGACCCCTGCCCAAGGCCCTGCACTGCCTCAAATTCCCTTGTCTCCTCCCCCAGCTCCAGCCCAGCTGCAGATGCCCAGGAAGAGCCCCTCTGTGAGAGGAAGGGACAGCTGCCATGGGGAGGGGGCACAAGGATTTCAGGAGGCCATGGGGGAGGGGGAACCATGGGAGGGTGTGGGGGTTAGGGGTAAGAGGGACTGAAATCTACACACCCTGACCTGGACCCTCACCTCATCCCTGGGTTAGTGACCCATCTGGGAGCAGGTGGGTTTGCAGCCCTGAGATCCCAGGGACACTGCCAGGAGACACACCCCATTCTGTCCCAGCAGATGCTGCCATGAAGGACCCTCATCCTGGGGAGGGCATGGAGCTGGACTCTCAGGTGAGACCCCTGCTCCTGTCCAGCACACCAAGGACCTTCCTGTTGCCCATTTCACTCCAATGGTCACTTCCCTCTCTACCCCCCTTGTATCACAGTAGCACCTACACTGACCTGTCCTTCTGGGCACCAGGTCATCCTGCTGTCACTCACTCCCCCAGCTTTCTTGTGTCCTGATGACCCTTCCTGGGTGGTCCCCTGTGCTGGCTTCTCATTCTCTGTCCCTGTGCAGCCCCAGGTCTCAGGAGGAGGCATGAATGACTGAATGACCTGCAGGTCCAAGGGTCCTGTCACTCACTCACACAGCAGCTGTGGCAGGAGCTCACTGGTTATAGTCTCTATGTCGGCGCCACGGTGCAGCTCTGAGCAGCTTGTCCCCACCCTCCTCCAGTTCACCTGTGGGTGAGGGAGACACCTGCAGACAGGCAGATGGCCTCCTGGAGAGCCAAGTGCTGTGAAGGAGAATGAGGCAAGAGCAGGGGGAGGTGTGTGGTAAGGGGAGAGAACAGAGAAAACAGCAGGTGCAAAGGTCCTGAGGCAGGACCTGCTGCTTCAGCCAGATGGGCCCTGTGGCTGGACCTGAATGAGCAAGAGACAGAGCAGTAGGTTAATAGTCAGATCCGTAGAAGCACCAGGAGTTTCAAGGCTGAGGGAGTCCCTGCAGACTCCATCAGGAGAGTGAACTCATCTGATCTGAAGTTTAAGCCATCACTCTGACACCATGTGGACACGTGAATGGAGGGTTTCAACTGTGGGGTGAAGGATACACTGGTTCTGTCTCACTGTCTCTCTGCAGCAGAACAGGACCCATGATGACTCTGAGGGAGTGACATGTTCCTAGGTGACTCACTCAACATCGAGGCTCAGGCAGGGAATGGCCTCCTCACCTTCCTCTTTATCATGGGGATTGCTGGCCATGAAGAGCAGAGAAGCAAAAAATGACTGACAGTCAAGTGGGTCCCGTCCTTTCCAGACCCCAGGCTTCCCCAACCTTAACCACCTTTCACCCCTCTCACTGTCCCCCTGCTCCAGGCTGCTGCCTCTGCTGCCCCCCAGGATGTGACCTACGCCCAGCTGACTCACTTGGCCGTCAGAGAGGAGACAAGTGTACCCCCTTCCTCCCCGTCAGAGGAGCCCCCAGATGAGCCCAGTGTGTATGCTTCTCTGGCCACCCACTAGCCAAGGAAGGACCCAGACCCCACACTCCAGGGAGAGAGCCTGCAGGGACCCCAGAAGGCACAGGAGCTGCCCCCCTAAGGACACTCAGCTAGTGACCCCAGTCAGCCTGGAGACCTGACATGGACCCCCAGCAGTTTCAACTGATTTTGCAGTTGAAGATAAATGGCATCCAAACATTTTGTAGTCAAAGCAATAGCCTTATCAATAATCAGTGTGTTAACTGATTATTGAGAGGAAGTGAGAGAATGTTTAAAATAATGATAACATAAATATTATACACCAAACATATAAAAGAAGAAAATTAAGAAGCATGAACAATTATGTTAGAAAATAAAAGCCTGAAATAAATGACCTAATTTATTTTATCAAGTACTATAGAATTGTACACCTGAAACCTGCATAATTTTTATTAACAAAGTCATGCCAATAAATTCAATAAAGAAGAATTTAGAGAAAGAATAGCAAATTATTATAAATGGCAGTAGAAGGAGAGACATAATAATGAATGGATACTAATGAAAATGAACAGAAATAGACAAAAGGCAACAAAACCAAAAGACTTCGTTCTGAAAACATCAATCACACTTACAAAGTCTACTACAACGGCCACAGGACAAAGAGAGAAGACACTTGTCACCTCTATCAGGACAGCATTATAGGTCTTACAGACTTTAAATAGATAACAGAACACTATAAACAATTTGATACCAATGTATTAGAACATGTAGTTAAAATGGACCCCTTCCAGTGGACAATTTATTAGACATAAGGATTAATAGAAATTTTGTATCACCTTATGTGTACATTAAATACATTGGCTTTGTAATGAGAAACTGTCTTATAACTGAACACTGTGGAATAGAAAAAACTCAAAATGATAGAAACAAAGAGTAGAGTGTGAGTTACCAGCAGTGAGGGAAGGAGAAACGGGCAGGTATTGGTTAAAAGGTACAAACTTCCAGCTAAAAGACTGACAAATTCCAGGGCTGTAATGTACAGCATGGTGACTGTAGCTACTAACACTGTATCATATTTTTGAGTGTTGCTAAGACAGTAGATCACAAACGGTTGTCACCACAAAAAGAAATGGCAACTCTGTAACAGGAAGGAGGTGTTAGCTAATGCTACTGTGGTCATCATTTTGCAACATATAAATGTTTCAATTCACCAGGCTTGTTGGGGATTTCTTCCCAGTGCTTCTGCATTTATAACATGCAAACACATTCACACACCCCAAAGTTACACAAACATTTCCTGAGAGCAGAAAAAGAAGCACACCCCAACACATTCTGTCAGCCTGGAAAATATTGACTCCAAAACCTGAGAAGACTACAAAATGGAAAAGCACTGGGGAGAATATTCTCGTGAACTTAGATGAAGACCACTAAAAGTATCACAAATAAGATTCAGCAATAGATACATATTTTAATAATTTAATAAAAAACAATATATCATGACTAACTTGGGTTTTCTGTTTTTTGGGTTTTGGGGGGAGGGTAGAGAAGCTTGAAATAATTTGAAAATAATCACAATGTAATATACAGATGATGGGTCATAAAATTGTACACCTGAAATCCGTATAATCTTATCAACCAATGTCATCCCAATAAATTTAATTTAAAAATCAATATAATCCAACCCATTATGGGAACAAGTAAAAAATTCTCACCTCAACAGACGCGGAGAAAGCCTTTGATAAAACGAACCAACAATTCACAGTGAAAACACAAATTCATCAGCAATAAAAGGGGATTTCTTATTTTATCAAGGCATGTTTAACAATCAACACTAGACATCTTTCTTAAAGTTAAAGCCTTGAACTCCTGCTCTCTATACCTGGGAATGATCCCAGTACTGTCCTTATGACCTCTTCTATTTAACAGAGCCCTGGAGGTACCAACCAACTAAATAAAATGAAATTATAAACATGGAGTAGATAGGTCTGATAATGCATCACTCAGAGATTAAACAGTGGTTTGCATATAACATTCAAAGTAATATGAAGATGTATTACTCAAATTAAACAGGACTTTTCCAGTATCACTGGATACATGTCCAGTCCATAGCAATCAATTGCACTTCTGATTTCTGGTTCTGGACCAAGATAAATTAGGTAAATATCTCCTTATTCTTTGACTTTACACCAGAGACTCTGACTTTTGACTTTTCACCCCCCAGAATTATAAGATAATAAATTTGTATTGTTTCAAGCCACAAAGTTTGTGGTGATTTGTGACAGCAAATAAATTCAGCCACTTACATTTTCTTTTGATACGTGTTTGCATGGTACAAACATCTTTCTTTAGCATTTTTCTCTTCTGTCAATGTAGAAAGATACACATAATACAAAATGTACCTTTTGGCCACTATTCAAGTGTACAGCTCAGTGATGTTAAGTAATACGCCATGTTAGGCAACGGTCCACACTGTTTATTTTCAGAACCTTTGCATCGTCTCAAACAGAAACTGGTACCCAATCAACACTAACTCTCGAGCCCCCTCATAACCACCTGTGGGTAGTGTCTATGCTGTGTGCTGCCTCTAGGAGTCTGCTGATTCTGTGCAGTTCGTATAAATGGAATCTTACAACAGGTGGCCTTTTGTGTCTGGATTATTTCCCTTAGCACAACGTTTTCAAGGTTTAGCCAAGTTGCTCATTCTTTTACTTGTTTTATAATATATTTTTTAAAGGTTTTATTTCTTTATTTTTAGAGAGAGGGGAAGGGAGGGAGGAAGAGAGGGAGGAAAGCATCAATGTGTGGTTGCCTCTTGAGTGCCTCCTACTGGGGATCTGGCCCACAACCCAGGCAGGTGCCCTGACTGGGAATCAAACTGGTAACCCTTGGGTTCCCAGGCTGGCACTCAATCCACTGAGCTACACCAGTCAGGTCTGTTCTTTTACTTTTAACCTTTTTACATCATTGTATTTCAAGGGAATTTCTTATAGACAGCATATAGTAAGGTCTTGTTTGATATTTTCAAATCAACCAGTCTGACAATCTGTGTCTTTTAATTATTGTGTTTAGACCCTTTAGAGATAATGTAATCACTTATAAGATTACTATTTAGGTTTTTTATTTTATTTGTTTTAGTTTTCTATTTGTCCCTTTATTATTTGTTCATCTTTTTCTTTCTCTTCCCTTTCCTTGGCTTTAGAGAATGTTTTCAGTATTCCATTTTAATTTCTCTGTAGGTGTGTTATCTATACATCTTTCAATGCTCCTTAAGTGGCTGTTCTCCATATTCTCACACATCACCAACTCAACCCAGCCTAGTGAGGTTTAGTAAGTTTCCACTTGCAGGGACATGTAGGAACCATATAAACATGTAGCTCACCTACTTACCTTGTCATTGTTGTATGCATTATATCTACAAACACTTCCAGGGCTCTGTCCAAGCTCAGGGGACCTTCCACAGGCAGGTGATCCTCCCCCGGACCTTTTGCTTCAGCCCAATAACCCTGCTTGGCAGCTGGGGAGGGGGCAGCAGGTCTGGGCTGGTGGAGATGGGTCAGGGAGGGGCCTTGGGGTGGCAACTGAGGAAGCTGAAGAGGAGAAGGGCACCCCACACACTTCAGGTCCGATTCCTTTCCAAGGGTCCTCCCCCAAACCCTCCATCTGGACTGACACTCAGAAGAGCCCTGTGACTGAGGGGAGCCCTGTGAGCTCCTGGAGTCGGGGGGCCTCTGCAGGCTAATGTCTCTACAGTTTGTGTAGACAGAGGGGCTTTGGACACAGTGCTGCGAAGCCCCCACAGGACTGCAGCAACAAGACCCATTTCCCCCATGGAATCCACAAAGTCTCACACTGCAGGATGGCAGGAGGGTGTGTGCCACAGCTCCAAGGGCTACTCAAAGAAAAGTGAGCCGCTACCTCTGGTGGTGACAGGTCACAGAGAAAGGAGCCAGGACCCCCTCCCCACTGCGGATTCCTCCTCACAGCAAAAGGGAACAGAGTGTGGCCCCAGGAGGACCTGGCCCCTCAAAGTCCACACCTGGGTGCATGTGGGATAGTGGTTACCCCTTTAGCATCAGGATATTCATTTATTTTGCAGTTTCTTGTCCATACTCCTATCTAGACTACCAACTGAACAAGTAATTGGAGCTTACAGTTAGTGGGGTAATACTGGCTCCTAGAAAGATTGCATGGTGCATTGTCAGTATTCCATCACCTCTTTTATTTTTATTTGTTTACATTCTCTTTTTAATTTTTTATTGTTGTTCAATTACAGTTGTCCCCATCTCCTCACCCCTGCTCCAAGACTCTCCCCTGCCCTACATACCCACCACATTCCATCATGTTTTCTAAATTTAACAGGTCACCCTGGCTGGTTTGGCTCTGTGGATTGAGCACTGGCCTGGGAACCAAAGGGTCGTCAGTTCAATTCCCAGTCAGGGCACATTGCCTGGGTTGCAGGCCAGGTCCCCAGTGAGGGGCACACAAGAGACAATGACACATTGATGTTTCTCTTCCTCTCTTTCTCCACTGTCCACCTTGACTGTGGAGTCACACACTTTGATGTGCTCATATTTCAACCCCCACATCTCAATTGGATCTAGAAACCAGTGAGGACTGATCCCTCCCAGGACCCAGGCACAATCACGCCACAGCCATTCTGAGGAGTGAGGTTCATAACAACTTGTTTCCCTTTGGTAAAACTGAAGCTCAGAGATTGAATATTATCACTTGATAACACATAGGAAGTGGGTGGTGATGGAGCATTTAAACAGGAATGAGCTTTGTCACCAACATTAGAACATTAACCCACTCGTTGTTCCCAAAAGCAGAAGACCTGAGGATAGAACCACAGAATGAGGGGCCCCTGATCCCTTTGTCTCTGAGCACAGTCAGCTCTAGGTCCAGACATCTGGAGTTGGATAAGGGTGAGGGGTCTCTGGGAGATGGTCACTCAGTATAGATCTGCCCACAGAGACCCTCCCAGTTCTGCCCACATGTCCCCCTCCCCTGGGTTTTAAATGTGGTATGTAGGCATCTGTAGCAGAAGAATGTGACTGATTTGCCCACTCCAAGGTTTGTCCCAGACCCCCACCCCCTTCTGTCCTCATTCCCAGGACCCTCTGGAGGCCCCAGCCCCCCACCCACAGGGCCCATCCCCACAGCTGGTGTGTCCCTGGGAACTCTGCTCAGAAGGAGCACAGAGCAGCCCCAGGAAGTTCTGATGGTCCATTAGGGGGTCTTGTTTCCCTCAGATACTTGGGGATGGGCTTGTGTCCCAGGGGCTAGGAATCAGGCAGAGATGCCAGAAACCACAGTGTCCACAGGGCTCTGAGGCTGGCAGGTGACAGGGGGGTGAGCATGGCAGAGGAACATGTTGGGCCCCAGGCTGAGGGAGGGGCTAGGCTCAAGTAGGGAGAAAGCAGCCTTCACCCCTTACCCACATTTTAAACTTCCAGGAGGCTCTAAGGATCCAGAAACCTCACTCACAGGTAAGTGAGGGCCTCTGTAGGGAGCTTCTGGGTCCTGATTCATTTTGCAGCTCTGCTGCTGTAGAGCCTGGGATCCCTTCTCTTCTCTGAGTGTCGGGTTCATGTCTGTCCATCCCTGGTCCCCTCCTGTCCACAGGCCTGCAGTGACATTAGGTGACAGAAGGGGTCTCACAGAGCTCAGGAAGGCTGAGTCCCCAACCAACCAGATCTACCCAAGGGGGCATCAGAGTTCACAGCACACGCCTGTCTATTCTGTGTCTCTGCTGTGCTAGGGGGCAGGTAGTAAGAAGAACCCTCAGCTCCAGGTGAGACAGCAGAGGCCCCCTGCAGATGAGGAGCCCAGAGGTTGGAGTTTATAATCACCTAGGGCAACAGGAGGACAACACAGTGAACCCACGTCCTAGGGCCCAGTCCCAGCCCCACCCTGGCCTGGCTGGGTGACCTAGGGCACGGGGCTAACCTCTCTAAACCACACAGGTCTAGGTGGTGAGTCAGCCATGCCTGGTGCATGTGTGTTGTGAAGTTAGATGAGATGAACAACAGACCCTAGCATGTGCCTCGCACACAGTAGGTGCTCATTAAATGGCACCTTTGGTTGATTTATGATGTTACTCCTGCCCAAGGTCTCCAATGGTACTGGAATGTGCTGATTAGTGTCTCAGTGGCCCTCATCCTGCTGCTCTTCCTCCTCCTCTTCCTCTGACACCAGCATCAGAGCAAAGGTAGGACATCAGATGAGTAGGGGACAGGGTGACATGGGTCACAGAAAAGAGGGGCTCAGAGCACCTGCCGCAGGAAAAACAAATAGATGGAGAAGGTCATCTGAGCAACAGATTTCTCCAGAATCTCACATCAGAAATTCTAGAAAGAAAACACACAATGTACAAATAAATGTGTTGGGAACCACCCTGACTGGTATCAGAGGCTGAAACTCCCGCCTAGCTAAGGCTAA